AGACACAAATCTCAGAAGACATTCCATTCACAATTGCCACAAAAGGAGTAAAATAACTAGGAATACAGCTGACAAGGAAAGTGAAGGATCTCTACAAGGAGAGTACAAACCACTACTCAAAGAAATAAGAGATGATACAAATGAATGGAAAAACATTCCATGCTCATGGACAAGAAGAATCAATATTGTTAAAATGGCCATACCACCCAAAACAATTTATAGATTCAATATTATTCCCATTAAACTACTACTGACATTCTTCACAGAACTAGAAAAAACTGTTTTAAAATTCTTATGGAACTATAAACTAGCCCAAATAGCCAAGACAATCCTAAGCAAAAAGAATAAAGCTGGAGGCATCATGCTACCCAACTTCAAACTATACTAAAGGGCTACAGTAACCAAAACAGCATGGTACTGGTACAAGAACAGACTCATAGACCAATGGAACTGAATACAGAAATAATTATAGATTTTTATTAGTAAACAAGAGCTTGATAAAAAACATTTATCTGAGGTTGAAAATGCATTATATATATACAATTTGTCTTCTTATGACAGACTACAGTTATTAACTCCATAGCAAATAAACAGACACATTCCAAGCCTGCTGCTTAACCCCAGACTGCACTATGGTATGACTGTTTTCAAGTATTTACTAGGAGATCTTTTTTAAATTAACTTTTAAATGAGTTAAATTAAAGAAAATATGCTTTACATGCTATGACAAAATATCATATTTTCTTAACTATGAAGAGCAGTAATTACATCTTTAATAAGCTTTTTATTTTTAAATAATTTTATATTTGCAGATGTCTTAATTCATTTTTCATTGCTATAAATGACTACCTGAGGCTGAGTTATTTGTAAAGAAATTGATTTGTCTTACAATTCAGCAGCCTATACAAGATGCATGGCACCAGCATCTGTTTCTAGTGAGGACCTCAGGAAACATTCAATCATGGTGGAAGGGGAAGGGGAGCCTGCATGTCGCATGAGAGAAGACGTGAGAGAGAGAGTAGGTGCTAGGCTCCTTTTAGCAATCAGCTCTCATGGGAACTAAGAGAGTGAGAACTCACTCATTAACTCAAGGACAGCACCAAATCATTCATGTGGGTTCTTCTCCCCCATGACTGAAACACCTCCTCCCGTGCACCACCTCCAATATTAGGTCACATTCCATCATGAATCGTGGAGTGCTAAGCATCCAAACTATGAAAGCAAAAAAGCTTCAGAAATAGTATGGAGAATTCCCATATACCTCACATCCAGTTTCCCCTGTTTTTAATACCTTATAACTACAGTTACGACTCAAAATTGATACATTATTATTGAAAGTCCAAACATCATTCAGATTCGCTTAGTTTGCTTTAAAGTTCTTTTTTTCTGTCCTAAGATCCCATCTAGGATACCACATTATGGTCAGTTGTCCTGTCTCCTTAGTCTCCCTTTGTCTGGGACAGTTTTTTCCAAATGTCCTTGTTTTTGATTACCTTGATCATCTTGAGGAGAACTGGCCAAATATTGCGTAGAATTTTCCTAAATTTGGGTTTGCTGATGGTTTTGTCATAATTAAACTGGGATTATGGGTTTTTTGTAGGAATGCCACAAAAGTAAAATGCCCTTCTGATTACATCATACAAAGAGTACATGCTACCAACATGATTTAGCACTGTTGATGTTAACATTGATCATCTGACTTGAGGTGGAGTTTTTCATGTTTCTCTATTGGAAAGTTACTACTTTTTCCCTCTTTTCCTTATTGTATTCTTTGAAGGAAGTCCCCATGCTCAATGCTCAGCCCATCCTTAAGGGTTTGGTAATTATTCTCCAACTTTTTGAGGCAGGAATGTTTATATGAATTATTTGAAATTATTTTGAATTTAAAGAGAAAGTTTATGTGTTATCCCTGACTTTTTAGTAGTTTAACCAGTCATCTAGATTTGTATGTGATCTTGGTTATGTATTTTATACTTTGGGTTTAATCCAATACTTTTTGTTGTTGTTACTCAAATTTTTCCAGCTTTGTTTGACTATTGGTAGCTCTTTCAGTTGGCCCCTGTGTGCCTTTGAAATACCTTCATTACTGTGGGGTTTTTGTTCGGTTTCATTTTGGGGATTGGTCTTTCTGTTTGTTTTTTCATTTGTTTTTAGCATGTACATACTTTCTTATACTACAAAATGTTCCAGGAAAGAAATAATTGCATTTTTTAAAGTGCCAGCATAAACTTAATAGTCTGGAGCAACTTATTACTAAGATCAGAACCATGTGTTTGCCTTCCTTAGCAAGCAACCTTTCCTCAATTTAATGCATATAGATAATACTCCTAACTCAGATCTGATATTTTGATTAAAAGAGATAATTATAACAAGTGCCATAAGTAATCTGAATGAATGTTAGAGATAGTAATTGTGTGTTTTATTTACCTCAATGTGCCTTAAGGAAAGGTGATTGATTAAAAATATTTTTTTAAAGTTTTGCTTCATTCTATACTTACATGATTGTTTCTATATACTAGACATCCTCAAAAAAAGCAGTTTTCATGGGAGGATGAAAGACTTTTAGAATCCAAGAAGATTCTGTCTCATTACCTTTTTTCTATCATATCTTTGTTAGAATGTACAGTTTTAATCAGGTAATACTCCTGGGAAGTAAAAGTTGCATGAAGGAAGAAAACATTAATAGATTTCTTCAAACAAAAATGTGAAATTATTCTAGGAGTATTATAATAAATGGAGTTCTAACAGAAACACCTGGATATGCAATGTATCATTAACAAGTTATTCATAATTGCAATTATTTCCTAAAATAAAAAATGAGAGATCAGTGAAGTGAAACATTTGCATAGTTCAAATCAAGGTACAAACATGAAGGGATTCTCTATTTTTTTGTATGAAAAATTATTTTCTCTATAATCTGAGTCATTTTCAATTTCCTACACAGTATTATTCTACGTCATTTTATATGTGAAATAATTAACTCTCAATCAACTAATCTATCTATTTTCATGACATAGCTCTGTCTTCTTTTAACTCCACATCACTTTTTATCTTCCTGTTGTTTTGTATAGAAATATTTGGAATAGTAAAAACAAATTTTTTAATGCAGAAGACTTGTCTCTCAATCCATTTGCTTGAGAAAGCTGAGTTTTAAGTAACCATCTCCCAACGAGAATAAAATTAGTGTTTGTGAATACTTTTTTACAACTGAAACTCCACCTTCCTCCCTTCCTTTCTCCCTCCCTCCCTGCCTTCTTTCCTTCCTTCATTCATTCATTCTTTCCCTCCCTCCTTCCTTCCTTCTTTCCTTCCTTCCTTCCTTCTTTATTCTTCCTCCCTCCCTCCCTGCCTCTGTTTCTTCTTTAATCCATTCCTTCTTTCCTTCCCACCTGCTCCCTCCCTTCCTCCTTTCTTTCTTTCCTTCCTCCCCTCCTTCATTTCTTCCTTCTCCACTGCTTCCTTTATATGCATGCATATTTATTCAGTACTTACTACTTACTGAACATTATTATAGACCCACACTCCATGCATCAGATAAAATTATCACAAATTTCCCTAGATACAGTCAATCATGGACTCAAGTGTATATTTTGGCCTGAATAATGCTGCACTAAGTACCACATTTAATATCTTTCTCTTGTCTTTGCTGCTAAGTTCACTTTCTGATTATTGTTGCTTATTTGTGTATATTTTCTCATCTTCCATGAAGTTCCACTATTACAGACATTGTTATTCTTAACTAAACTCACAAAATATTGTTGAGAATGAAACACCTTTTCTTCCACGGTAGATCCAAAATGTTATGCCTTCTGTATCAGCTGGAATTCTTTATCTATCCTGGATGGTATTAGGTCATTTGATGAAATAAGATCATGGAAACTTTCTTTCTCAGTCTTGGAATTTATGGGTCTGTATAGCATATTTCCCCAAGGCAGAAGATAGAGTTCTCAGACTCTGTTACTACCTATAATTCTTTGTGCCTTCTTTTCACCTCTTAGCAGACATGACCAATTTCTGTGCCTCTTAAACAAAATCACAAATGCAGTCCCAACGTTTTGTGGGGGGCTTAAACAAAATCACAAATGCAGTCCCAACCTTTTGTGGGGCGACTCATTGGTAAGGAAATTTCTGAGAAGTGGCTTTGTGGCAAAATGTAGATTTCCACTGTCTATTCTGTGTCACATAACTGATTTGCACGATTAAAAATGTTTGATTCCACATTTCTGTTTTCATCCAGAGGGATAAAAATATGTTTAATCTTGACCAGAATCCATAGAATGAAATCAAACATACAGATCTCCTATTTAAGAACTGACCTGCTCCTGGAATAAAACAAACAAGTCAGGAAAAGGCAAATATGTCCTCCCTCTAGCCCATCATTTGCAATGGAATCCCAAGAGTCTTTAGAAAGAACGACTTCTGATTCTAGCCCAGACACCAACTGAATTTATAATTTTAGATTAGAGTCTCCTTTGTGTAACCTTTTTCTGTACTATCCATTGTCCTCACTCTAATGTGAATGAGATTAACAAAAAAAAAACATCAAAATGCTTTTGTCTGGTAGCTGGGCCCAGACAAAATGGAGCACAGAAGCAGCAATGTCATAGCTAATAGGAAGTAATATGGCTTTCTTTCTTCATAAATAAAAGATAAAATGCAGAATAAAATATATTCACATTTTAGAAGTTTTAGCTTCATATACACAATAGTAAAGAAATGGGAAGTTTTAAAAGATGAGATTTTCATATATTGAATTAACATTTATCGAATATTTAATATATTCTTATACTACACTAGGTTCTGGGAATACAAAAATTTCAACATCAAAATAAAACGCAATCCTGACTGTGATGTGATGTGCATTACTGTAATTTATGAATTTTTGTATCTAAATTTAAATTGCAATGTTATGCTATATCTATTTTTTAAATTTCAGCATGTTTTTCTTCCAGATATGATTAATATCTCTCTTAATATTTGTTTACTCTTGACATCTTTAGGAGATAGTCAACTTCAACTGTCGGAAACTGGTGGCTACAATGCCTTTATTTGCTAATGCGGATCCTAATTTTGTGACTGCCATGCTGAGCAAGTTGAGATTTGAGGTGTTTCAACCTGGAGATTATATCATACGAGAAGGAGCCGTGGGTAAAAAAATGTATTTCATTCAACATGGTGTTGCTGGTGTCATTACAAAATCCAGTAAAGAAATGAAGCTGACAGATGGCTCTTACTTTGGAGGTTAGTAAAAAAGATGCAACTAAGATAAAATCTAAGCTGCTTGAGATTTGTGTCTTTAAGAATTTTGGAGATGTCAGCATGTCACTTTGTTGGTTTTGAATGTAAACCTGTATGTGAATTCTGATAAAAGTGTCTATAACAGTGCTTTCACATTTCAGAGTCACAGGCTCAATGTGTGTGATTTACTACTACATTGGTTGAGGTATTATTTCAACCTCTTTATCTAGAACCAAATATTAGGGGCTTAAATCAAATGGAAAGTATGATTTTCTCCTACACAAAAGTTCCAGGAGGGTTGGGAGGCTTTCTCTACAACAGTTTTTGGTGACCTAGATTCCATCCATCCACTAAAATGTTTTGTTTCGTTTTTGTCATCTCCACAAGAGGAGCTGATTCCTCTCCGCCATGTTTTGTTGTGGCTCATATAATGGGGCAGAAATAATAGAAGAAATGAAAAACTAACAGCTTCCGTTTGATAGTCCTACTGCCCAGAAATTGCAAAAATCATTGCTATTCACATATGATTGCCCAGAATTGGTACAGGATCACCTTCAAGCCTAAGGAAGGCTGCAAAATGTAGCCTCTAGTTAGATGGCAATTTACCTTGCTAAAAATTTATGAAAATTTGTATTGTTTCTGTATTAGTTTGTTTGCACACTGCTGTTAAAGATGTACCTGAAACTGGGAACAAAAAGAGGTTTAATTGGACTAACAGTTTTACATAGCTGAGGAGGCCTCAGAATCATGGCAGAAGGTAAAAGGTACTTCTTACATGATGGCAGCAAGAGATAATGAGAAAAAAGCAAAAGCAGAAACCCCTGATGAACCCATCAGATCTCATGAGACTTATTCACTATTATGAGAATAGCATGGGGAAGACCGGTCCCTGTGATTCAATTACCTCCCCCTGGGTCCCTCCCATAACATGTGAGAATTCTCAGAGGTATAATTCAAGTTGAGATTTGAATGGGGACACAGCCAAATCATTAATTTCCAATTTTTTAATTAAAATTATATATATAATACATATATATGTTTCTACACATGTACAAAAAATGCCTAGAAATTGATTTACTGGGTCAAACACTATTTGATCTTATTTTTAGACTTAGACAAATAACACCCAATTGCTTCTTTGATAAGACTGCCTGTTTGCTTTGCCAATTCAGTTTTAGTTTTGTCTTGTGTATTAGTCCATTTTCACACTACTATAAATACCTGAGACTGGATAATTTATAAAGAATAGATATTTAATTATCTCACAGTTCCACATAGCTGGGGGCGGGGCACCTCAGGAAACTTACAATCATGGCAGAAGGTGAAGGAGAGACAAGCAACTGCTTCACAAGCAGCACGAGAGAGAAAGCGCAGGGGAAACTGCCACTTAAACCATCAGAACTCCTGACAACTCCCTCACCACCATGAGAACAGCATGGGGGGACCCGCCACCATGATCCATATCCCCTCAGGTCCCTGTCTTAACATATGGGGATTACAATTCGAGATGAAATTTGTCGGGGGGACACAGAGCCAAAACATATTATCTTGTTAATAAACAAAAGGACACACCCTAATTATCTGCATTTCTATTTGCATTTTTGCTATTTCTGGGAGGCTGAGAAATTTCTTGTTAGAGTTGCTAATTGCTTGGATTTATTTTTTTGTTCCTATTCTTTGCACATGTTTCCACTCTGTTGTTTGCCTTTGTAAATCTAATTTATAGGAATGTTCCAGATATATATTTTATATGATGCAACTATTTTCTCCTAATTTGTTGCTTGTTTCTTAATTTTGTTTATAATATCTATCATCGTTTTGATTCTCATTATTGTTGATTTAAATCTGCCTATTTTTTTCTTAGGGCATTAAAGATTTTATGTTCTGTAAGTGGATTTTACACACTGCAAAATAATGGAAATGCTTTTCTTATCTTTCTTTCTTTTTTTTTTTTAATGATAGGGTCTCCCTCTGTCACCTAGGCTGGAGTGCACTGGCATGATTATGGCTCCACTGCAGGCTCAAGTGATTCTCCCACCTCAGCCTCCCTAGTAGCTGGGACCACAGGCATATGCCTCCATGCCCTGCTTTTCTATTTTTTAATTTTTTGTAGAGAGGGGGTGTCACCATGTTACCCAGGCTGGTCTCTAACTCGTGGGCTCAAACAATCTTCCTCCCTTGACCTCCCAAATTTCTGGAATTACAGGCATGGCCACCACACCTGGCTGGAATTGTTTTTCACATTTTTATTTATTTTATTTAGTTTTACTACATTTTTTCAGGACTACTTTGTTATTATAATTTCTTATATTATTATACATATTTTTGTTTTAGTATTAATTTAAAATGTAATTAATACATTTTTGTTTTAGTATTAACCCATCCAAAGTATATTTGTGAGTATAATGTGAAATATTCTGTATTATCCCCATTTGTTCCCCCAAAGAGACAATTTTTCCAAAATCATTGATGAAGGAGTTCATCCTTTCTGCTAACTTTTGAAATGATTCCTTAATAATATGCTGACTTTAAGAAATGTTCCTCATTTACAGCTAAGATATATTTATTAGGAAAATTTTTGAATTTTGGTAAGTGCGTTTTTTGACTGTATCAAAATAACCATGAGGTTATAACCCATTAATCTATTATGACTGAGTGAAACATATTAACTCAAATTAATTAACTTCTTTAAATTCCAGCTCACCAATTAAAGACAATTTTGAAGTTCCATTTTGAAGCTTTCCATTTCTTCCCACTCTTCTTTCTTGTTAAAATGATTCTGTGTTGTCTCATTGGCCTCTTAGCCTTTTGTGCAGGTTATTTTAAGAAAAACGCCGATTAGGAAAAACTATGAATCTAACAGGATCTGCTTTAGAAAGTACAGAGAATTAATGTTTGAATGAAGGGAAAAAAGAAAGAGATTGAAGTTAGATGGGATAAGAAATGAAAGTATACAGTTGATCTTGAGAAACGTGGAGATTAGGTGTACCAACCCCTACTCTGTCAAAAATCTGCATATAGTTTTTGACTCTGCAAAATCTTGACTAATAGCAGCTTACTGTTGGCTGGAAGCCTTACCAATAATATAAATAGTTGATTAAAACATATTTTGTATGCTGTATATATTTGATACTGTATTCTTACAATTAAGTTAGCTAAAGAATATAAAATATTTAAAAATTAATAAGGAAGAGAAATATATTTACTATTCATCATAATAAATAGATCATCATAATAAATGGGTCATCATCAGGGTCTTCATCCTCATCATTTTTATGTTGAGTCGGATGAGGAGGAGAAGGAAGAGAAGGGGTTACTTTTATTCTCTTGCGGTGGCAGAAGCAAAAGAAAATCCACCTGTAAATGGACTTGCGTAGTTCAAACCTGTGTTAAGTAGTGAACTGTATATGTATAGGCCAGGTTTGGGGATAAATTTGTAGGAGGAAAAGTCTTTGAGTCAATTTCTGGGGATTTGATGAATATGTAGAAGAAACATTTGAAAAGAATTTTTTGAAGTGTTATTATGCACAAAGACGGGATTTGTGAAGTCGACATATGTTTTGTGAATTCAAAGGAGCTTTTAAATACCTTACAGTTAATTTGGTAATATGACTAAGGTTTTATACAAAGACTGGAATATGTTCCTCCCTGGATTTATGTGGGTTAAACTATTAGTACAGTGAATCACATCAATGAATATCCTTATGTTAAACCATGAGATCATTTCTGAGATTAAAACTATTTTTTCTTGATGTATTATTTCTTTAACATAGTGTAGCATCTCCGTCCATGAGTGAGATTGGTCTACATATAATGTTGTTTTTATTGGGGTCATTTTTGTGATCTATTAGATGACTTTGGATATCAGGTTATGCTCACTTCTTAGAAAGAATAATGAAACTTTTTCAAAAAGTATTCTCTGTTTTAGAGAAGTTTAAACAATCTAGGCATTACCTGTTATTTGAAAATTTGATAGGTTTCACAAATAAAGCCACTTGCATTTGATTCCTTGTATTTTATGGTTATTAAAATACTCCGGTTTTCTATTTCTTTAGGAGTAATCATTCAGTTCATCTAATTCAATTGTTCATAATACTGAGTACACATTACTATCTCCTGGGAAGCTTTAAAAAAATTTGACGCCAATGCCAAAAAAGCTACTCTATATTTTCTCATATAATTGAGTGGAGTTGAAATCCAATTACCAGTATGTTGGCAAAAATCCCCAGATGATTCAAAAGAATTTTTAAATTAAAAACAGATAGTTACAGAGACAGAGAGTGAGAGACATGAAGATATTGATATAAATGTATGGTTCCCTTTTTACTTTTAAACTTTTATTTCCTTTTTATTACAGGGGGTTTGTATTTACAAAATTATTGCAAAGATCATACAGATAATTCCAATGTAAACACCTTGCATTACTATGGTATGTTGGTCAAAACTAATGAACCAACATTGATTAACTGTTAAAGTACTTAATAAAGTGCATTTTTTTTTTTTTTTTTTGGATATGTGAAACTTTATTTTTTATTTATTATTTCAGAGCAATTCTTTAGACATCATCCTGATGAACACGATGGGCAGGAACATCCTCAATCAAATACTCGGCAACCGGGAGTTCAAAAACATTCAACAAAAGCCTTATTCCATGAAAGGGTGCTCATACCCCTGGGGATGGCAAAGGCTGGTTCAAACATTCGCAACACACAATCCAAAACATAATCAGGCGAGATACCACACAAACCAAACAACACCAGAAACCAATGATTATTCATAATCAGAAAAGGTTTTCGACAAATCAACAGCCCTTCCATGCTAACTTAATAAATTCGGTATTGGATGAATGTATCAAAATAATAAGAGTACTGACAACACAGCCAATATCTACTAAGGGCAAAAACTGAACAAATTCCTTGAAAACTGGCACGGGGATGCCCTCTCTCACCACTCCCTATTCAACATAGTGTTGGAAGTCTGCTAGGGCAATCAGGTCAAGAGAA